AGTGAGGAGAAGCTTGAGGAGATGCCTAATCAAAAATTGGCTTCACTTGGACCTACCTAAAGAGAAAACCTAAATACATTCTTGAACTTATATTTATGGAATAACATCTTTTACTAGTAATTTTCTCATGAAATTCCTATCATTTAAATATTTTAAGTGACTTGATATTACAACATATAGTCATTCTTGAAATGAATAGAAAACTAGAACTCTTAAACATGATGACTATATAGTCTTGTACAAATAGAGTTAATTTAATTACTTGAAATTTTTCTAAAAATCTCACTATGGTATTTACTTAAATCAAACTTATAATATTTTTGAATTAAAACTTTACTACAGTAGATCATAACTTTTATGTAGTAGTAAAATTACTTGAGGACAAATAATAGTTAAGTTTGGGGGATTTTGACCAAAGGAAAATATGTTGAGATTTTCATACCTTTTTTACATTGATTTTGATGATATTGTACTTTAAAGAAAGATATTTTTGACGTTTTATTGCAGGTATGTTGAATTATGGTCATTGGAGCAAAAAGATGCAAAAATGAGCGAATTTGGAGCAAAAAGGAGCAAATTTGAAGATTTGATCTTGAGCGCCGACGACGAGCTCGACGCCGCCGACGGCGAGCATCCGACGGCGAGCTTGTCGATTCTCTCAACAGATGCATTGAATGTGGATGATTTTTTGAAGGGATGCTTGGGCAACTTTTAAAAACTCTTCTACAACTTTAAAAGAAACATTTGGAGCAGAAAAAGGGGGTGTCCACAAGGGTTTCTGCTGAGTCTTTGTTGTTTATGGTACCCATTAGAGTGTAGAGAGTGGTTAGTATTGTGAGGAATTCTTCGAGAGATTATAAGAGTGGAAGAAAAGTGAGAGAATTCTTTCTCTTTGCCGCTTATGAGTTCTGAGTAGTTTTCTCTGTCTTTCTTCTTGTCTTGAGATTTTGTGAAATGGTGATTTGAATTGGTTATGTCATGATAATGTTAAAGAAGTTGTGATGATCTTTTCACTTCAATCTTAATTTACTTTCAATTTGGTCAATTGATTTGTTAAAATATGTTGAGTTTTACAACTAAAGTGAAGATTACATCCAAGATTTAGGGAGGTCAAAGTCCTTGAAAGTTGGGTGCAAATAAATAGGAAAATAAAATTGTCGGGCATAGAATTGGAGATTTTAGAGTGACATATTAAAATCCTCAATTTGGTCCTATCGTTTGGGTGCTGAAGTGTAGATGTTAGCCCTGAGACGAGGGGAACGTGGGAGCTTCAAAGTGAGAGCTGACATCCTCCCAGCCTAGCCGCAGATTCAATAACCAAGCATAAGATTAGTCAATGTTCTTTATGCCTGGTCCAAAGGGTAAAAAATAGGTATGCTTCTATTTGACACCATACAATTTGAACTGATTCAATTTATCCATTCACTTAAATTTCCTGACAAGTAGAAGGATGTTTTCTTATATATTGAACTTCACATTAGAAACTTTATTAGTAAAATTAGTTATTTAAGAGTTTATTAAAATTACATTTTTATTTCAATTTCCTATTAGTGACAAATATGCAATTTGAACTATATTGTTGTGATTAAATACTGATTTTTTAAATCTTAGTTCGTAGCCTCTAATATTACTCACTGTGGGATCGATATTCAAGACTCCATTAGAGCTCTATATTACTTGAGCGATACGCATACTTGCGTTGATAAGTATGACTTTGCAATTATTGAATATTTTATACACATCTTTATCAAGTCTATAATTGTTATCAAGTTTTTGGCGTCGTTGCTGGGGATTTAAATCTTCTAGCAGCAGTATTAAGTTCTTGTATTTTTAAGCATATATAAAGTCACTGTCAGTTAGCCCCTAAGTGGAGGAAAAAGAGGGAACTCTTGAGTGAGAGCTTGTATCTTCCCTACCTAGCTCGTCTTCAAGACTATTTAAACTTTAGATTAACCAATGTTCTTTATAGTATCTATAGTATGGGTAAGGAATAATATTGCTTCTATTTGACAAAACACAATTTAAATTCTTGCACAACAGAATTCCTATACTTGTTACTTATTCATGTTAAGGAAAAAAATATTTTATTTTTATTGCTTCATCTTACAAAAATCTAATTAAATTTAGTTAGTTTTTATTCTTTATTTTCAGTTATCTAAATTACCAAAAAGAATCGCACTTTCACTCCTACCATAGTATCTATAGTTTGAGTAAGACTCTTTTTCAAAGTAGAGTTTGTTATCTAATTTCTTCTTAAGAGTTTGTAGTTCTTCTTGTGTGTTCAATATTTTGGGGCTTAATCAAAAAGTTTTATATTGCTTGATAACGATAGATATACTTGTCTAGTATTCCAATATTTAAAAGAACAACACGCCAAGTTTTTGGCACCGTTGTAATAAAAGAAATATATATAAAGAGAATAAAAAATCTAACAACACCTGCATTATAGTACTATCATACCAGATAGAAATCAAGTTTTTGGCTTATGTTGTCAGGAAACTTACAAGTAGTTCCAAGTAGTGGAGTCGGAAGCAGAAGTATATATAAGGAAACGGGATCAAGCATCACCTTAAGTAGATTTCAGAGCTGGAGAATGAAGTAGCGAGAAATCAGGCGGCTGATTTTGCATAAGCACTTTTAAAAGTTCTTCAAGTTGAGCAACAAAAGAATCAAATGCTAACAAAGCGGTGTAGGGTCCAATACTTTCCCCATCTTCCGCCTCTTTACAGGAAGTGGTGCCAAGTCCAATGACTCACCAACCTCTTCCGCATTAGGTAGCTTATTTGTCGTTTGCTTACTTGGCTGAATTCATTCATGCAACAACTTTTCACCTACTGTTCTCCTGTCCTCTCCTTTTCTTGTCTCTAGGGGATGCGATTCTTCGCAAACCATTTTCTAAAAAGGTGAGTAGGAACTGTTTAATTTTTTTTCTTTCATCTCCTGCAGGCTGGGTTCTTGAAATGGGGAGTCATTAACCTTGCTCAAGGCCTCCTCATTTATTGGTCTTTTGGCGCGTGACATGTTCGTTTGCTTGGATGATTGACTCACAAAAAGAGGAGTAAGAAGATGTCAAAAGGACAAAATGCACTCAGAACCCTATTCATACGTGAAGGGATGGAACATGAAAATCAAGCAAATATAAATTATGATGATGTTTATTGCTCATTATAAGAATAGTATTGATATTGAATTCTCTTATTCTTTTGATAGCTGTTACTCTAAAAAAGGAAAGAGAATTTGGGATCTAATTATGTATATCGAAGATATGCCTACACAAATCTTAAGGAGAAATAATTGGAGATATAAAGGCATAGATGGTTCGTTCAAACGATCGGTCAGTCTCGTGGGATTATTGAATGAATGTAACGAATGACCCAATTATCATCACATAAATATACCAGTGCCAACCATCCTGTAATTACTATGAAAAATAGTGTTTGCCTAAGATGAAGTGCTTTAACAAAAATACAAAATCTGAGGGTAGGTTGCTTATCAAATTACAGTGATTTACTCTATTCCAGATGAAATAACCCTATCTTAAAATGATGCATCTTCACGTTCTGACTCCACAAATGGGGCAACCAAAGAGCATTAAAGACGACCGAATGATGTAGAGTTGGTCAACCGAATGACGATCGACCAAATCCAATTCAAACATCTGAATCAAACGGTAACGAATACAAATGAGTTATAGGAACCTAGCAGTGCTAAAATCAGTTACGAGGATATAATAAATAATGTTCAGTTAAAAATGCACAATTTAATAGCTCATTAAGTAGTGTAACATTCATCTCTTTAACGAGGAACCATCATATAACTTAGAAAGCCTACCTTTGAATTATAAATATGGGGTAAATTCTCAAGAGAAGAGGGAATGGATTGTCACAAAGAAAAACAAATATTAAGCATTCAAATCTATGCTTTTTATCCGATTAATGCTTTATTTCTTAGGCATCATCCACCAAACAATTTGGGATCTAATACTCTAACATTTTGGTTAGGAGGTGGCATGTGGTTGAAAAGATAGTAGGTGACTCAAGCACTCGACAATGATAATGATGTTAGGATTCTAATTGGATGGTATTAATTTATTTTTATTTAAATATTTTGAGTATTATGGATATAAAATTTGAAGTTTAGGCATGAGATATGTAAAATCTAAGGGTCTGTTTGAGATCACTTTTTGTTTTCTATATATTTTTTTGTCTGCTTTATTTTTTATTTTCTATTTTTAGAAAATGCATTCAATATTACTATGATTTATATATTTTAAAAATAAAAAATATAAAATATGTTTAGTTGTGTATTTTTATTTTGTTAAAGAAAAACCAATACATTTTATAAAATGGTTGGGTCCACGTCCGCTTCAATATTAGGATTTACCGCTCATGGTGTATATAACGTTTTCCTTACTCCAGTCAAGCGAAAATTACCTGTGGGAGGCCGACAATAGCATCAAATCGTCAGCGACTGTAGGCAGCGGTGAGTGGTGATGTGGACAGTCGCAGAAGGTGACAGGTGTGGCGGGTGACAGCGGTGGGCGACAGGCAGTGGCTAGCGGGGGCCATTAGGCAGTAGGTGGTGACGACAGATTGCGGACTACGACCGGTGGTATGATTTGCTATTTTCCTTGGTTTAAAAGCATGCAAAAATATGTTTTTTTTATTTTGAGTATTTTTAAAAGAGAAGTCTTCCTCTAAAAAAATTAAAAAAATAGAATTAAAATAAAAACAAAAACAGATAAGTAAATCCTGCTTTTTTTTTTTTTTGCTTATTTTCTATTTTTATTTTTTTTAAAATAATAATAATTAGATGTCGAAGAGGTCCTAAATTTTTGTCTACCATGTAATTTCCCATTTTTATTTTTGAATGAATAACGATAATTTTATAGCTAATAAATTATCATGAACAATGATAGAGTCATGGAACCCGCCGTTGTCCAACCAGCCTCCGAAGCCGAGCAGGCGAAGCGCCGCTGTCTCTGCCTGCAAGAACTAATCGTAAATTCCCTCCCGCCGTCCAAGCTCTCCACCCTAGCCAAGCTCACCCTTCTCCGTCTCCTTCGCGCGGAGCTTCGCTTCCTCTTTCGCCTATCTTCCCCCTCAACTCGCATCACTTCAAACATCGGCTACTTCGAATCCATCGTCCGCGTCCTTCTCCATCCCGCTCTCCGCAAAGCCTCCCGCCTCTGCAAGCCTGTCCCGTCCTGTTCTGTACATGTTGATATCGTCTGCAGCTTCGGCTCCTCTCCCTCCTGGTTCCTCGTCTCCGACTGCAACCCTACCCGTATCTCCTGGACCGGAAGTCTCCGCTCCCGCGCCGAGCGCGCCCTTCTCGCCGCTCGCTCTGCCTCTCTCGCTCTCAAACCTGCCTGTCTCTTCCTTGTCTTTTCCCGTGGGCTCCCAGATGACACGGCTTCGGAGATTGGCCGCCATCTCGCCGCCGTTGAGGTCGATGTACATGCGGAATGCAACTTTTTTGAGGATTTAAAGGAAGGTTGGATCGGGGTGGGATGGTGGGAAATGAAGGGATCTCGCTGGTTTAGAGTCAAGATAGAAGGGGATGATCTTGAACGTGTTAACGAAGTTCCTAGATTTCTAACCGTGAGTAATGGAGAGAAAGCGCATTTGGGGAAGGATGCATTTGGGGAGTTGTTGTCGTGCTTGAGGCCTGGAGGGATAGTTGGGGATTTGATAAATTTTGATACGACAGCGCTGATTGCTATGGTTTCGGGGATAAGTAATGATTCTGCGGAGACGCTGCTTAGGGAGCCGGAGGGCGACCTGAGACAGCGATTTAAACGAAACTATAAGTTTGTAATAGCGCAGGTAGTGCCTTTTTTGCTTTTCGTTGCTCTGTTTTGTAGCCGGCAAAATCCAATATCTATCTGTCTTCCGTTTATACTCAGAATGTTCTATGAGTTTGTTTTGAGCATATCGTTTAATTGAGCTTTGTTTTGTTTTTTGCACTCTTTTCGTTCTTTACCTTTCTTTAATGAGCCTTTTTGAAAAGGCTTTTTTACTTTGTTTCTGATTCTTCTCATCTATTTTGGAGCATAGACTATGCGTGTTATTGTTAATCTCTTACATTTTGCTTTTCAGTGATCTGTTGTGAAAATTGTTCTGCTACCTTATTTAATCGCATTCTTTTATAACTCTTCATCTTCAGGCAACTTCTGAACTTGAGCAACCAATTCTGGTAGAACTTAAAGTTGCATTAGATGGGAAGAAAGGCATTATATGTGAGAGCGTTCGCTTAGAGTTCAAGGAGCTCATTTTCATGTGTGGAGGAGCTAAGGAGAAGTTAAGAGCAGGTCAATTGCTAAAGCATCTTATGTGAGTTTTTTTAAACTGATTTTCTAATTAATGTTTAGTTTTATGTTTCTTTTTTATTAGTTTGATTGACTATTAAGTTTCTGAGAGCTGCACGCATGTAGTTTTTCAATAATCACAAATTACATCATGAATCTTGACTTTTAGCAGCATGAACTTCTTGTAATTTTTAGTTTTAAGCTTGCACCATAGTGGTTCTTGGTATTATACTGATATCTGTATTTTATATGATGTATAAGAACTATATTTACTATTTTTGAAAGAAAGATCAACTTGAAGTTTCTCCAGCTTCCATGCTAAGGGACTGTTTGGGGCAGCTGCAACTTATTAAAAAATATATGTGAAGCTCCTGAAAAATAATATGATGTTCAAAAAACTGCAGTGGCTATTACATTTTTTTTTTGAAAAAGGCAGACTGCAGCTAAAAGGCTGTCACCGCACGTAGCTAGAACTAGTGGGAAAAAATAGATTTCAATCGTGTCAAAATGCAGTTTACCCAAACCAATAAAACTACGGTACGGTGCCACACTGCCACCGCACCGCCGCCCCAAACGGACCTTTAGTAAAAAATTTCAAGATTATCTATTATATAAATAAGTCATAATGGTTATAATGCATGACATTAGTGGAATAGTATGATTTTAAACACCTGACCTCTTTCATGGCAAGCTAACCTCTTCCTAGCAAGTTGTGATGACTTCATTGTTCAGTCAAGATGATATAAACATGTAATATGGTCACATCAATGTTGAATTAGCTTAAGGCTCCATTTTGGCACAGCAGTGCGACACTGCACTGCTGTTTTGCTCGTTTGGGTAAACTGCGTTTTCACAGCTTTTTCAAAAAGTACCTCTGAAATCAATATTTTCCCACCACTCCTGGCTAGGTGCGGTGGGAGCTTTCTAGCTACGATCTGACTTTTTTTTTTAAAAAATTGTAATAGTCACCGTAGCTTTTTGCAATATCAGATTATTGTTCAACAGCTTCTTAATAAGTTGCAGCTACCCCAAACGGAGCCTAAGTGTGGGTCTAATTTATTCATTTATTTACGTGGCAACTGCTTGTAATGGAAATATTAGTGATTACCTGGTTGAAATTTGAATAGCTTAAGTTCACTAATCTAGGTCAAACAAATAAGTTGATGTGAATTCTTCTGTTGCTTGATCACAGATATTCTAAGAAGCATGTAAGTGTTTTCTGCTTAATTTTTCTCTCATCATTCTATTCCACTAATTTCTTGCTTTAAAATCATAATGACTTAATTTGATAGTAGATAGTCTTAAAATTCTCTCATGCCCTTGGCATTTATGACTAAAATCTTTATTCTAAGCAATATTCATTATAAACAGTGCTTTTGTAATTGGTGTCATGGAAAAATACTAAATTGGAAAGGGCTATCATTGGAAAGTATTAGATCACAGAGATACATTCTTATTATTCTTTTGTATTTTCATAATCAAGGATATTATCCTCTTTTCTATTTTTTTTCTATACTCTTTATTTATTTATAGCACTACTATTTGTTCGATAATGCATATGAACTTTCTCCTCCAACATTGTATTAGAGCCACATTAGTCTAACTGGCTGCTCTCCTTTTCACCCCTCCTTGCCACTTTTGATCAGCATTCACTCATTACATTTGTTATAAATCATGCGCTCACTCGCTGCGTACATTCATTTGGCTAGCTAGCTCACCCTCTCTTGTTGCATTATATTGCATGACACCCTTGTTTAACTCATTGGTGTGATCACTTTGCAATGTGTGCTTAATACTAGTGACCTTGCACTACTTGAACTCGATAATTTCATGACTCACACAACTAGAGGTGTAAACGAATCGAACACGAACGAACAGAGCTCGTGTTCGTGTTTGGTTTGTTTGAAATTAATTGTGTTTGAAATAGACTCGTTCGAAATTGTTCGTTAAATGTGTTGTTCGTGTTGGGTTCGATTTGTTCGAAATAAGTTTGAATTGTTCGAAATGTTTGAATTGTTTGAATTATCTAAATGACTCAAATTGTTTAAATTGCTCGAATTATTCAATTTGTTTGGTTTGTTCGAAATCTTTGAATTGTTCAAAAATAGTAAAATGTGTTAGCATATTTGAATTGCTAAGATTTTATAATATTTATATGAATTAAAATAATATAATATTTATATTAATATAACCACTACTATTATGTTATTATTATTATTAATAATTTATTATATATTATGATTTATATGATTTAATTATTTAAAATATAATAAATTTTTATAATATATAATTTTTTTTAAAAATATCCTAAATTTTTTAAATATAACTATTTTAAATTATTTTATATTTCGAACAATAAAGAATCAAATCCGAACGAACACATCACTGTTCGTGTTTGGTTCATTTAACAAACCGAACGAAAAAAATTGTTCGTGTTCGTCTAATTTGCTTATCGAACAAATTGAACACGAACTCCCTCGCGAACCGAATACGAATTGCTCGCGAACAACGAGCTTTTTTGACAGCCCTACACACAACTCCTTGATCTTCTCAATATGTATCATGAGTTTTCACTCATAACTCATTGAATCGAAACTCTGATCTACCACTGTTACTAACAAGTAACATCAAATTTAATGATACCAATTATCATCCGTGGTTGAAGGTTTTTCTCCTTTAAGTTGATTCTCAGGATAAATTTCGTCAGCTTGATATCTCTTTTATTTGATAGTGCTGGCCAAGTTTTCAAAATATCAAGGACCTAACTATTTTTTTCTGAAATAATTTGTCAATAGTAAAAAAATTTCAATTTGTCTAAACAATCAGGTTTCAAAACTAAAAAAGATACAAGATTTCTTCACCCCATAAAGTTTCAAGAAAGTCATGCATCTCACATCATCTTTTTTTTTTTGGAAATTTTTTTTATATTCTAGTGATACGCAAGTCCATGAGAATTATTATATAGCATTGGGAAGAAAATGGGGTAAGTATGAGTTATTTCAACACTACCCCTTCACTAGTCATCCAACTATTTGGCTGAAGTAAAATGAAGAGTTTCCTTTCACTATTTTCATCTTCAATCTACATCTTTTCTTCATTTTGTGAAAATGTTCTATAATGGATTTTTTGTGTTACAAAATGCTCTAGTCTTCAACCTCTTACTCTTGATTAATCAACCTTGGCTATTTGTTCTTGCGGTGATCGGGGAAATCACACAAATGGTGGGCATAATGGTGGCAAGCATTGTGGTGGCCTTTAACTCCTTTCTAGCTTGCCCTCATTGCAGCCACATTATTTATCCTCCATTATTGTATTTTTCCATAGATCAACGTACTTCCACAACAGGTCCAATCCTCATGAATCCTTCGGTGCCATATCATTTGGATCAGTTGCTCTCTTTCAGGAAGATTATGATCATTTGCTTCAACAATCTCAGGCATCTATCTCAACATCTCGTGTCGGTACCTTTGGGTCTCTAAGTTGTCGTTATTGGTATATTTTATGTTTTAAATTCTAGTGCTTTCTTCTATATGACAGATAAGCGGCAATTTTTTTTCCTCTTACTATGACCTCTCTCCCACATTGTTTCTATAAATAAAAATAGTTGGTGGTGGAATGATAATGTGCAAAAAAAGATAAAATACAAGTTATATTATAAAAATTAGTTTAAATGTAAAAGTTTAGAGAATTTAAAAAAATATATAAAATGACCCGTGGGGAGTCTAAGAAAATAATCTTTGATGCTAAATTTTTTGCTTTTAGTTATATTTATAATAGATTATATACTAAATAGGGTGAAAAATATATGCCTAAACTAGTCAAATAAAGAGAAAAAAAGTAAAAATTTAAATCAACCAAAGTGTAATAAAGATGAAAATAAAAAAGTGCTTTTTTTAAAAAAAATATTTAATATATGTGAGTGAATTATTTTGATAAATTTGTCAATGAAATTTCTGAAAATACGGTCGACCTTAGTGATCTTAATATCTTTAATAATAATAAAATATTTCAGTTTTACCGTCGCAGTACTAAAAAAGTTGAGGAAGCATTAAAGAAAAGTAGGGGTAGAAATTCTGTAGAACCTGATGATATCCCAATTGAAGTATGAAAATTTTTAGGAGAATTGAGAGTTTCTTGGCTTACTGAACTCTTTAATATTATTTTGAAAACTAAAAAAATGCCTGAAGAGTGAATGAATAGTACTTGGTCCCCATTTTTAAGAACAAAGGGGATGTACAAGAGTGTGCAAATTATAGAAGAATTAATGATGTGTCATACTTTAAAATTATGGGGGAGGGTAATTGAACATAGATTGACATACTACAAAGATTTCTCATAATCAATGTGGATTTATGTCAGACAAGTTTAATATGGAAGTTTTATATTTATTGAGAGGTTTTATGGAGAAGTATAGAAAGAATAATGAGGATCTGCATATGATTTTTATTGATTCATAAAAAGCTTATGATAAAGTTCCAAGAAATCCTTTGGAGAGTTCTAGAGAAGAAATGTGTTGATATGACTTTTATTCAAGTCATTAAAGATATTTATACTAGAGCTATTATACTAGAGTAGAGCTATTACTTGTGTTCGAACAGAAGGAGAATTGACCAAATATTTTCCTATTTTAGTTGGATTACCTTAGGGATTGGCTTTAAGCCTATATCTTTTTGCTTTAGTTATGAATGCTCTTACTGGACATTTACAGGAATATGTACCTTGGTTTATGCATTTTGTTGATGATATCCTTCTTGCGGATAAAGCTAGAGAAAAAGCTCAGTAAAAACTTGAATTATGGAGGTCTACATTAGAGTTTAAAGGCCTTCGTTTGAGTAGAACTAACACTGAATACATGGAATCTAATTTTAGCAGTAGTAGCTCTAGTGACAGAGTTGTAACTATGGGTAATCAAATTATTAAAAGGTTTGAAAGTTTTAGATATCTCGGGTCTATTGTTTAAAGTGGTGGCGATATAGATAGGGATGTTATTAGTAGAATTCAAGTTGGTTGGTTGAAGTGGAGGAA